CGTAGCGGCGGCGCGTGGCGGGTGGACATGCGGGCGCCCGCCATCGGGCGGTGCGCCGACGGCGGGACACTCCCGCCTGGGGGCGTCGACTTATGACTTGCAATAACAAGTTAGTATTGCCCCAACAAGGATTCGGGCACAAGGCAACTTGTGTTGCTGTACGGGGGGCGACGCCGGATGATGCTGAAGGGCTGCTGCGTTCCACGTAGCTAGACGGATCGGTACGGCGGAGCGACCAGCATGCTATGCCACATGCTTAAAGCCGGACACGGATCCAGCTAATCCAAAATCGGATCCGTACGGACGGAAATCGGATCCACCGAAACAAACACCAAAGCCACATTTGGATCCGCGCGAACTTCATGGGATCCGACGGCGGTTATCTCATACGGGTCTGCTCAAGACTTCACACCGTCGTTCTGGGCCCAAGAGGAAAAACTTTCGTCCTGGGGATGTGGGAGGGGGCTTTGGGCCCAGGAGGGTGCACTGCAGCACCTGGGGCGTCCAGGTGCCACTCTGGCCTCTCTGGTCCTGCCTCCCCTCTCCCCTCCCCCCGTCCTCTCTCCCCCCTCTCGTCTCCCCCTCCCTCCCTCCTCTCCTGCCCTCCATTTTGCCTCCCTCCTCCCTCCCTCCTCCTCTCCTTCTCCTTCTCTCTCCCTCTCTCTCCTCCTCCTCTCTCCCTCCTCTCTCCCTCCCTCCTCCTCCTCTCCTCCTCCTCTCTCCTTTTTCTCTCCCCTCCTCTCTCCATCTCTCCTCCCTCCCCCCTCTCCTCTCACTCCCTCCTCCTCTCCTCCTCTCCCTCCTCTCTCCCTCTCGCCCCGCCCCCCCATCCTCCGCCACCTGGGGAGGGGTGATGGGGAGGGGAAGCCGGGCGAGGAGCAGGGGCCCGAAAGCAGAGAGCGCACCAGGACGACGACGCCGACGGCGGCGACGGCGACGACGAAGAAATCGACGCCGACGAAAACGACAACCAAAAGACGAGGACGCAAACGACGAAGGCAGTGGCCGGCGACCCCGCCGGCGACGCCGCCGCCGCCGACGACGACGACGAGGGCGAACGCGACGGCAAGGACGAAGAGACGACAACGACGACGACCAACGACGACGGCGACGGGAGAAGATGGCGAGGGCGACGACGGCGAGGATAGAAGCGACGACGACCACGAAAGCGACGACGACCACGACGACGACGACCACGACGAAAGCGACGAAAGCGACGACGACGACGACGACGACGACGACGACGACCAAGGCGGCGGCGGCGGCGGGCGGCGCCGCCTGCGGCGGCTCCGGCTCCTCCTGCGGCTGCGACTCCCCTGGCGCCCGCGGCTGCGGCTCCTGGGAGCCCTGCGGTCAGCCTCCGCCTTGGGCGCCTCTCTCGGGGGGCGCCGGCGCCGTCGTCGTTGCCGTCATTTGCGTCGTCGTCGTCAGCGGCGGCGCCGTCGGCGTCGTCGGCGTCGTCGTCCGCGTCCTCATCCTCGCCCTCGTCGTCGTCGTCGTCCTCGTCGTCGTCGTCCTCCTCCTCGTCGTCGTCCTTCTCTTCATCCTCATACTCGTCCTCCGTATCGTCCACGTCCTCGTCCTCGTTGTGGTCGTGTTTTTTGTGCTCGTTATTTCTGGTCGCCGTTGCTGTTGTCGCCGCTGTTCCCGCCTGGAGAGGGGAAACCATGGGCAGCCACCGTAGTCTCGGTTGCAGATCCCTCGCGCGCTGCAACCATCTGGGGCTGGGGAGCCGCACAGGCGAAGTGGGCTTCAGCGCAGACATACTGCTCGTGTTGCACCTTGAGTTGCCCGAGACAAGAGAGGGAGGGGCGGAGGCATGGAGCGACCTCTCGGCGGGGGCCTGGAATCCGCGGAGAGGACCCCCCCCGGGCCTTCCTCGGGAGGGAGCACTCTGGAAGCCATATGTTTTTCCTCTGCGCCAGACGGACGACCATCCACTGTGGAAGCAATGTGCGCTGTACACAGACACCGCCTGGGGAATGGATGCCACAAGACCCCAGGAGGCGGGGGGGGTATGGACATGCACGTGTGGGACCCAGCGGGCCCGAACAGATCTACATCCAGCGCCTCGCGAGGTCCAGGAAGGCAGTCTCCCCAGCTGATGGATATGTCTATATCCCAGCCTTGGGACGGGCATGTCCCGCTACAGGCGGAGCTTGGGAGAAAAATGAAAATATGCCACAAAGGTTCAAACAAACCACAATGGACAAACGACAAAAACTACGTGCACATTAACTATTTCCCAACCATCCTGTGGTGTTGTGTCCTCGCATTGCAGGCAAAGGCCCGCGTCACTCCTCCCGCTGCCCCCTCCCTCCTCCCTCCCCCGCAGTTCGCATCCATCTCCCCCGCCCAGTACATCGTTCCGTGACCCCAGAGGGAGCTCCACCGAAGGTCCCAGTGGCGCAGTCCGCATGCGGTTCCTGCGCCCAGAACAGCGTTTCGTGGCCCCAGGGGGAGCTCCACCGAAGGTCCCAGCGGCGCAGTGCGCATGCGGCTCCTGCGCCCAGTGCAGCGCTTCGTGGCCTCAAGGGGAGCTCCTCCGAAGGTCCCAGTAGCGCAGTCCGCATGCGGTTCCTGCGCCCAGAGAAGCGTTCCGTGGCTCCAGAGGGAGCTCCACCGAAGATCCCAGTGGAGCAGTCCGCATGCGATTCCTGCGCCCAGTGCATCGTTTCGTGGCCCCAGAGGGAGCTCCACCGAAGGTCCCAGTGGCGCAGTCCGCATGCGGTTCCTGCGCCCAGTACAACGTTTCGTGGCCCCAGAGGGAGCTCCACCGAAGGTCCCAGCGGAGCAGTCCGCATGCGATTCCTGCACCCAGGACATCGCTTGGTGGCCCCAGAGGGAGCTCCACCGAAGGTCCTAGTGGCGCAGTCCGCATGCGGTTTCTGCGCCCAGTGCAAAGTTTCGTGGCAGTCCGCATGCGATTCCTGCGCCAAATGCACCGTTTCGTGGCCCCATAGGGAGCTCCACCGACGATCCCAGTGGCGCAGTGCGCATGCGGTTCCTGCACCCAGTGCAGCGTTTCGTGGCCCCAGAGGGAGCTCCACCGAAGGTCCCAGCGGCGCAGTCCGCATGCGGTTTCTGCGCCGTGCAGCGTGCCTTGGCCCCAGAGGGAGCTCCACGGAAGACGACACCCACAATTGCGGCATTCACAACTGCATATGGTTGGGTTCTTCGCCAGGCTAGTTCTGCATACACCTCCTGTAGAGGGACATGCCCGACTCAAGTCTACATCTCAGCCTCACAGGGTGGCCCAGGAGGGCGCTCGCAGGCGGCTCCCCAACCCTGCCTGAGGCGGCGGCCCCAGGAATGGGGCGGCGGGCTTACCCCGGACGCACCCTGGACTTCTCAGCGAGTGGGCTTCTGGAGCGGTCGACGAGACTTACCCCAGAAAGCAAACAGCAACCCCCCGATCGATACCATTAGCACCAACTTCGCATAGACAATCAGTGATCGGCGGCGTCGTCCCGGCGTTCTTGTTCGCACCTCGTCCGGACTGGCCACAGTGCCAGAGGCGTTTACTGATTGCTTCCTTACATGAAGAACGAACGCCGTAAACATAAATTGGCGCTCCGCGCGGATTTCTTGGATCTGCGCTCGGCCCCCCCGGGCGGCGCTTCCGGCGCCGACCCTGGCGCGCTCGGCGCGCCGCTGGGGGGGCCCAGCGCAGATCCAAGAAATCGGCGCGGAGCGCCAAAAGTTTATGTTCATGGCGTGTTGTTTTTCTTCCATTCCAAGAGTTCCTCGCCCGTCCGTCGCGGCGTGTTCCCGGGAGCCAGGGCCTCGAGCGGATCTCCCAAAGTAGGAACAAGGAAAAGCGACACCAAGACCACCAGGGCGAGGAGATGCGAGGAGGCACGGGGGGTCTCCCTGGCGGTGTGGTCCCCCCTCTCGCTCGAGACATGCCCAGCCTCCAGCTCGGGAGGCATCGTGGACCTCCTCGCTGGAGGTGGGCCACCTGGTGGTGTTGGTATCGCTTCTCCTCCCTCCGACAAAGGCCTGGGCTCAGAAAAGCTGGCGGCCCTGATCTGTTCATGGCGCCCGGGCTCCAGGTGCAGAGTGCCGCTCGGGGGCTGATCCCCAGCATCACCAGGGCAAAGACCGCGTCGTGCTGACGCACGGAACTGCCGACCAGATGTCACGCCTGGACTCCGCGTGGTGACCATGCACGCTCAGGCTCTGGACTGTGGTGTTGTTCGAAGAAACATAAACACAGCAACAAAAAGAAAGCAGCCGACACACTCCTCCTCCTCCTCCTTCTCCTCCTCCTCCTCCTCCTCCTCCTCCTCCTCCTCCTCCTCCTCCTCCTCATCTCCCTCCTCCTCCTCCTCTCCTCCTCCTCCTCCTCTCCTCCTCCTCCTCCTCCTCCTCCTCCTCCGCAGGCGGCTCCACCTCCACCCCTCCTTCTCCTCCTCCTCCTCCTCCTCCTCCTCCTCCTCCTCCTTCCCCTCCTCCTCCTCCTCCTCCTCCTCCTCCTCCTCCTCCGACTCCTCCTTTTCCTCCTCCTTCTCCTCCTCCTCCTCCTTCTCCAACTCCTCCTACTCCTCCTCCGCTCCTCCTCCTCCGCCTCCTCCTCCTCATCCTCCTCTTCCTCCTCTTCTTCCTCCTCCTCCGACTCCTCCTCCTGCTCCGCCTCCCCCTCCCCCTCCTCCTTCTCCTCCTCCTCCTCCTCCTCCTCCTACTCCTCCTCCTCCTCCTCCGCCTCCTCCTCCTCCTCCTACTCCTGCTCCTTTTCCTCCTCAAGGGGGCCCGGAGCGCAGCACGCGACGGGGCCCGCCCTGGCAGGCAGCGCAGGACCGGCCAGGGGGGTCCTCCGGGGCCCGGAGCCTCCGGGACACCCTCCTCGAGGGGCCCCCCGCCGCCAGGCCGGCTTGAGGTGGCCGAGCGGCTCCCCCGGCCCGAGGACCCGAGGACAGGGGCCCTTCTCCTTCCAGCGCGGGTGGCCGTCCCCGAGAGCCGGCGCTGCAGCGAAGAGCGCAGCCCGGCGACGCGTGGAGCGCGGCCCCGGGCAAGGGCCACCTCTGGCGCGCGCGTCTCTGGGGGGCCGCGGGTGATGGGCCTGTTCTTCTCCACCACCACCACCGCCACAAGTTGGAGGGGGAGGGGGTCCTCCATCTCCTCCTCCTCCTCCTCCTCCTCCTCCTCCTCCTCCTCCTCCTCGTCTTCGTCCCCCTCCTCCTCCGCCTCGTCCTCCTCCTCCTTCCCCCCTCCAACTGGTGGTGGTGGTGGTGGTGGTGGAAAGCATGCCCATCACGCGGGGAAGCCGGCTCGGAGCGCGCGGGCCGCTGCTGTCGCATCTCATTCAGCCATCTCGCGACCCCTGAGTGCCCGCACCAGAGTTGGGCGCCCGAGTTATCCGGGGTAACTCGGGTCCGGGGTAACTCGGGTTTGGATTCCCGAAAAAGGAACCCGAGTTAGCCCTGACCCGAGTTACCCCTGATGATGTGGGGCTCTGGACGCCCGAGTTATCCGGGGTAACTCGGGTCCGGGGTAACTCGGGTTTGGATTCTCGAAAAACGAACCCGAGTTATCCCTGACCCGAGTTACCCCTGATGATTCGGGGCTCTGACAGAGGCCACTCCGGCGAAAGGTCACTCCTACGTATGGCCGAGCAGCACTTCGAAGAATCGCGACCAGAGCCCCTCATTCTGCTGCATCTTTCGAGCCCGATCGATCCGTGGAGACTGAGTGACAACGCCCGACTGAAGACAGGCGCGACGCCTGCCAGGATCTCAGCCGAAGACTGACAGAGTATCATTGGGCACAAGGCCCTTTAGGAAAAGCTGTCAGGGGCACTCCACGTACGCACGGCACCTCATTCCGAGTGGACCCCAGCGGGGTAGCTAATCGACGTCCAAGAGCACGTCGACCAGAGAAACCGACTTGGGAGTGCAACGGCACACTCGAGTGCCAATGCCGACTGAACCAGTGCAGATTTCCTCCGTCGACTACCTTGGTGGTCTTTCTTCGAATGACCGACTCAAGGCTATTTCAATGTCTTTGAGGGCCCCTTTGATGAACCAGGACATTGGCGCGCCCTAGGAAACTGCGTCCGTAGATCGAAACATTCTCAAATATTCATCCTCTCCAGGTTGAATTTCAAAAAAAGGCCACGCCCATTGGATCACCAGGAGATAGAAAAACTGTCTCATGGCAGTGTCCTGGTTTAGGAGGCCCTGGACCTTCACAGTCCCCCATCTGACGCTGCAGCAAAGAAGGCAACATCGTTCAAAAGTACCACCGGAATGTCCCAGACCCATCTCGCCGCAACAGTTTTCTTGAGCCGGATCGAGATGTGAGGGTCCCTGGGCACAAAGCTGGACGAAAACGCCCGTGGAAAAAGTGCAGCGCCAGGAGATGTCTTATTCGGCGTTTCGACATTGGGCCGAAGGGGGGGGAGAGGGGGAGGGGGAGGAGGAGGAGAAGGAGGAGGAGAAGGAGGAGGAGGAGGAGGGGGAGGAGGAGGAGGAGGAGGAGGAGGAGGAGGAGGAGGAGGAGGAGGAGGAGGAGGGAGGGGGAGGAGAGGGGTTCTGGCTCCAGATCTTTGCTTAGTGCGGCTGTTTGCAGCAGCGGGTCCTAGGGGGGAGGGTCCACCTGCACGAGACACGCGTCCAAAAGCAGCTACGATCTGCTCCAGAAAGGGGGCGGAAGGGGAGGGGGTGCGAGGGCCCGCGCCGATCGGCAGAACGAGGAATGAGAAAACGAGGACCAACGCCAGGATTTCAGGGGTGCTCGAGGAGCCGGGAGTCTGCCTCCGCGCGCGCGCAGAGGGCGGCGGCCGCGGAGGGGGAAGGAAGGGTGCTGCACCCTGCGGCCGCCGCCGCCGCGGCTGCCGCTGCGCCTGCCGGGGGAGGTCGGCGCGATGGCCCAGGTCGCCGACGCCACACGCAGGAGTGGACCCCCAGTACAGTCGGGGCGTTGACCTAAGGAACCCGAAATTCGCCGGCCCAACGGGCCAGAGGCGTGCTAAGATCTCCGGCAACTGGTAAACAGTATTTCTGGTTCGCGCGCGCGGGGGGCGGCCCCTGGGGGTCCCTGGATCAAAAGTACCCCGGGCGGAGCCCGGGCGGAGCCCGGGACACGCCCGGGACACTCCCCCCGATCCTCCAGGATCGCCCCAAGGGGGCCCCAAGAGGCCCCCAACACAATCCAAGAGAGGTCCGAGACGCCCGAAGATCGCTCCACGACGCCCAAGATGGCCTCCAGACGGCCCAAGAGGTCTCCAAGATGGCCCAAGAAGCCTCCAAGATGCCCCAAGATAGCCTCCAGGAGCACTCCCAAGAGGGCCCCAAGAGGCAAAAATCAATGTTTTTTCTTTGGTTTTGGACAGATTTGGGCGTTTCAACCTTTTCGGTTCCCCGACGCCCCTAAACGGCTCAAGAGGCCTCCAAGATCGCCCCAAGAGGGCCCAAAAAGGCCCTCAAAAGGGCCCCAAGACGGCCCAAGACGGCTCCAAGACGGCCCCAGAGGCCTCCAAGACGGCCCAAGAGGGCCCCAAGAACGCCCCCAACACGGTCCAAGAGAGGTCCGAGACGCCCAAAGATCGCTCCACGACGCCCAAGATGGCCTCCGGACGGCCCAAGACGTCTCCAAGATGGCCCAAGAAGCCTCCAAGATGCCCCAAGAGGCCTCCAAGAGAACTCCCAAGAGGGCCCCAAGAGGCAAAAAACTGTGCTTTTCCTTTTGGTGTTGGACAGATTTGGGCGTTTCAACCTTTTCGGTTCCCCGACGCCCCTAAACGGCTCAAGAGGCCTCCAAGATCGCCCCAAGAGGGCCCAAGAGGCCCCCAAGAGGGCCCCAAGACGGCCCAAGACGGCTCCAAGACGGCCCCAGAGGCCTCCAGGACGGCCCAAGAGGGCCCCAAGAACGCCCCCAACACGGTCCAAGAGAGGTCCGAGACGCCCGAAGATCGCTCCAAGACGCCCAAGATGACCTCCGGACGGCCCAAGACGTCTCCAAGATGGCCCAAGAAGCCTCCAAGATGCCCTAAGAGGCCTCCAAGAGAACCCCCAAGAGGGCCCCAAGAGGCAAACAACTATGTTTTTTCTTTGGGTTTTTGACAGATTTGGGCGTTTCAACCTTTTCGGTTCCCCGACGCCCCTAAACGGCTCAAGAGGCCTCCAAGATCGCCCCAAAAGGGCCCAAGAGGCCCCCAAGAGGGCTCCAACATGGCCCAAGACGGCTCCAAGACGGCCCAAGAGGCCTCCAAGACGGCCCAAGACGGCCCCAAGAACGCTTCAAGAACGCCCCAAGAGGGGGTTCACGAAACAGAATTTCGAGCTCTCGGCCCTTAGAGGCCCCCGGGAGGCCCCAAGACGCCCTCAAAGGCCCCAAGAGGCCCCCAAGAGGCCCTCAAGAGGCCTCAAGAGGCCTCCAAAAGGCCCTCTGGAGGCCTCCAAAAAACCCTCAGGAGGCCCCCAGGACGCCTCCAAGACTCCAGCCAGACGCGACTTGGGAAACGCGGGTCGGGGTGGTCCTCCTCCCCCGCGTTCGGCCTCCAGCCTCGAGCCTCGACCCTCCACGACGACGACGACGACGACGCCGGCGGGCGGCGGCGGTGGGCGGCGGCGGCGGCGACGACGACGACGACGACACAGGCGCTCCTCATCGCTCCTCATCCCCCTCCTCCTTCCTCCTCCTCCTCCTCCTCCTCCTCTTCCTCCTCCTCCTCCTTCTCCTCGTCCTCCTCCTCCTCCTCCTCCTCCTCCTCCTCCGGTCCAATTAGAAAAGAGATGGTAAGAGAAACGCCACAAGAAAGTGTTCCTTCACGCCCGTGTCCGCAACGCCAGAGGACATCAGGACGATAACAGAGCCAATGTTAGCATTCAAAGCCCGCCACCCTCCGACACGAGGGTTCCCGTATCGCATAAGATGTCTCTTCCCCCGGCTCGAACGGCCCCACAGCGGGATACCACGGGTAACACGCCCCCACGATGGCACCAAAGCCGTCAAAAAACTGCAAACACCTATAAGCCCCATGAAAAAACATTCACAAATGTATCGACAATTACACAGCTCCCGACGCCGCAGCTCCACACTGCAAACAACCATTCGGACAGGCGACCACGGTGCGACATTATGGGCCGGCGGAATGAGCGAAGCGATTAAATAAGGAACGAGGCCCCTTTTTTTCCATGAGTTAAACTTCGATTTCCTATCGAAAACATGAAGAACACCTGAAGCAAGCTGTGAAATACTTAAGGAACGCGGAGCCCCTCCCCAACCAAAAGGGCTCCTTCTTCAGGGCCCCGACTGTACCCGTCGGTCGGAAGAAGTGGGCACAGTCGGACCGAGGCCAGAAGAGCGCCCCTCAAGAGCCTTGGGCCCTCCGTCGGCCAGAACAGGCAGAGCGCCCAAGGGCACTCTCTCTCCCGAGGATGCACAGGAGCATCCACCAGACACGAAGAACAGCAGGGCTCCCTCCACGAGCCGACCCCGGTCTCGGACCTCGGTCCGACCGCAGAAGCATGAAACAGGCAGGCGCTGGAAGTGGATTGGGCTCCCGCCCACCCCCTGGAGAGGAGGGGAAAGGGAGAACCACTCGACTCAGTAGGAAGGTGCCTGAAGTAGACTGGGATCTGGGAATCCAAGAATACCTACTTTCAGCTACCGGCGGGGGAGCTTTTATAGAGGCCTCCCAGATGTGCGACGATCAGCAAGGTGCGCGAGATGGCACAGCGACCTTGCGCTGTGGCTTACGCGGGCCGCCAGCGCGGCACGCCGCTTTGGAGACGAAGAGGCACTTACTCGCGTCCTCACGCAGGCAGCTAACGCGCCAGCAGCGGCGCTCACGACCCCCTGTCTGCGCCTGGGGTCCGAGCAGATGGGGTCGGAGGATCGCGCTGCAATCAGCGATGCATCAGCGATGTGGCGCGATCCCCCCGACCCCGTCTACCCGAAGCCCATCCTGGGCATCGCTCGGACGTCCATTCCCTGTGTTTTTGTTCGGTTTCGTGCGTGGCTTTTTCGCCAAATCATCAAGGATGCTCCTCGATGGTCCTCGCCGAAGGAAAAATGCACACGTCCGAGCGATGCCAAGCATGTGGGAGGCCCAGCAGATTGGTGCGCGGCTTCCGGGGGGTCCCCGCGGGGGCACCTCATCCAAGCGCGCAGGCCAGCGCCTGGGATATGACCCCTCTTGGCCAGCACCAAACGGCCACTCCTCGGGGGAACCACGAGGTACCGATGCTGCTACAGTCGGGGCGTTGACCTAAGGAACCCTAAATAAGGAACGAGGCCCCTTTTTCTCATAAGATAAACATCGATGTCCCATGGAAAACGTCAGGAAAACCAAAGGCGAACTGCAAACCAACTAAGGAACACCGAGCCCCTCCCCAACGGAAAGGGTTCTTTCCTCAGCGCCCCGACTGTACCGATACTGCTACTCCCTGGGCCTGTCTTGGGGTGCTTTCTGACCCGGATCTCGTGGCGAATCCAGCGGTGGCGACGAGGGCCTCGGGAAGTGCACTCAGCGGTATTATGCGTGCCCTCTCCTCCTCTGGACTCCGGCGAAAGGGTCACTCCTGCGCGTGGTCGGGGACCTCCGACGTCGTGGGCTTCTCGACGCCGGCGCTCCTCCGAATCTCGGGCCCTGGCTGCACCCCGAGATCCCGGCGCCGCAGTGCTGTCACAGCGCGCGTTCTCTCGACAGGGTTTCGGGCCCCGGGGCCCTCGCGGCTCGATGCGGCTCGAAGAGCGCCGCGGAAAGATGGGGTCCAGGGCTCCGGCCGTGTCTTCTTGTTTCGATGCTGCCTCTCGTTCGCGTTGTCGGATCTCTGAGTCCATCCGTCGGGTCCCGACCCATCGATCCTCGAGCGATGTCCACGACGTCGCATCTCAGGGAAGCCCGTTCTGGACCAGGGGGTCATTCAGACCCAGACCCCCGACGTCATGATGTTTTTTCTACGGAACGTCGGCAACAGAGGTGCGGTTTTCCATCCCCGAATCGTTTCTTGACGGACCCGAGGCCTGGCGAGGGCCCCCAGAGGCCGAAAATGCAAACCCCCCTGAGAGGCCTCCCACCACAAAATCCGCCGCTCCCTGTTGGTTCATCACAGGGGTGCCCCGCGTGCTGAACCCTTTCCCTTTTGGTATTGGTTCTTTTTCCAAAAGAGCTCCCCCTGGGGCTTCGGCCCATCCCGCCAGGGTCCCAGAGAGGCCCCGAAACCACCTCAACGACCGGAAGCAATTCTCCAAGACGGCTCAAGATGGCCTCTAAGATGGTCACGTTGGCCCAAGATGGTCTCCAAGATGGCCTAAGGTGGCCTCCAAGTCGACAAAGATGGTCCAAGATGGCTTCCAAGACGGCCCGAGAGAGTCCAAGATGCCTTCAAGTTAGTCCAGGAAGCCTCCAAGACGGCCCAAGATGGCTCCAAGATGGCCTCAGACTGGCCAAGAGGCCCCAAAGAGGCCTCCAAGACGTCCTCCAGGAAGGCCCGAAAAGGCAAACATCATTGATTGTCCTCCGGTGCTTGAAGGATTTGGGCATTCAGCTCTCCGACGGCCCAAGAGGCCCCCACCATCGTCCAAAGAGCGCCCAAGAGGCCTCCAAGATGGCCCCATGACAGCCCGAGGGCCCCAAGAAGAGCCCAAGACGGCCCAAGATGGCCCCGAAGACGCCGAAGATGGCCTCCAAGACGGCCAAGATGGCCTCCAAGATGCCTCCAAGACGGCCAAGAAGGCCTCCAAGACAGCGAAGATGGCCCTAAGATGCATCCAAGACGGCCCCAGATGGCCTCAAGATGGCCTTAGACTGCCAAAAAAGGCCCGCAAGAGGCCTCCAAGACGGCCCAAGAGCCCTCCAAGACGTCCTCAAAGAAGGCCCGAAAGGGTCACCTCCAGACGGCCAAGATGACCTTCAAGATGCCCACGTGTTCCCCGAAGGCTTTCCAAACCGATTCGGGGAACACATGGTCCGATAGCTTGGCAGGGCTCTGGCCTCAACGTTCGGCCACACAGGCGCTTCCGAAAGGGCAAGGGGCGGCGGTGACTCGCCGTAGGCGTCTTCGATACATAGACGACGACGTCGACGACGACGACAACGATGGACACGACGACGACGACGACGACAACGATGGCAGCAACGACGACGACGACGACGAGGATGGCAGCAACAACGACGATGACGATGACGACGACCATGGCCGCGACGACGATGACGACGACGAGGACGACGATGGCCGCGACGACGACGACGACGACGACGACGATGGCAGCAACAACGACGACGACGACGACGACGACAACGGCCGCGACGACGATGACGACAATGGCCGCGACGACGACGACGACGACGACGACGACGACGGCGACCGGCGGGTCGGCGGCCCGAGGGCGCCGCGGAGGGCCTCGCACCGCCGCCCCCCGGGCCGAGCGCGCGCAGCAGCGCCGAGCGCCCGCGGACGTCGGGCCCGCCGCCGCCGGGGAAGGCGGCCTGCCGCGGCGACGACGGCGACGACGACGACGGCGACGACGACGACGACGACGTCGACGGCGACGGCGAAGACGACGACGACGACGGCGACCATGGCCGCAACGACGACGGCGATGACGACGACAAACGACGACGACGATGGCCGCAACGACGACGACGACGACGGCGGTGACGACGACGACGACGACGACGACGACGACGACGACGACGACGACGACGACGACGACGACGACGACGATGGCGGCGTCATCGTCGAAGGCCTCGTCGGGACAGGCGGTCCCGAGAGGCAGTCCGCTGGCGGCCTCCCGGGAGAGGGAGGCTTTTCCCTGGAAGGCCCAGAGGCAGAACGCGTGGCTGGAAAGGCAGGAATCAGCGAGCGGCGCGGACCGCCAGCTCTGGCTCGCCTTGACACGCTCGGCGAGAGCCAGCATCCCCTCCGTAGGGAGAGGGCTAGCGGAGCTTGCGCTGGGGGGACCTGTATGCGAGCCAGGACGAAGAGGAAGAGGAGAAGCAGCAGGAGGAGGAGGAGGAGGAAACGGAGGAGGAGGAGGACCAGTGTAGACCAAAGAGTCTTCAACGATGTTGGGATAAACCCAACCACAAGCTCCCTCTTCATAGGCCCCTACAAAGATTCATTCCCAATGAGGGAACTGCATTGTAGGAAGACAACCACTTGCAGACCCTGAAGCATGCCAAAACATTATTCTCGGGATTCCAACGCCACGGATCAATCTGAGAGTTGCGTCGTGACGCTCCTGAAAGGTGCCAGAACGCGCGTTAACGTAACTGATACACCCCCATAATCCTGAACCTGTCCCATCGGCTCCAGGACGCCATTCCTGCACATGTTGCAAAGGAACCGCCCTCAATCCGTGAAACTCTTGCACATGTTTAAAACGAATGTGCGCGGCGCTAAGGCGAGAGCCACATTTTGAAAACCACCTGCCCTCCATCTGAGAAACTGTTGCCAATGTTTGAGCTTCAGGGTCGTGAATATTGAGGAAGTCTCGGGCGAAACGCCCAGCCTGCCCTACAAACACGCCTGGAGTGCCAGAGGGACACATAATAAGGAAAAAGGGTGGAGGTGGCAGGCACAGAGGGGACGGAGACGGACGGCCGAGAGCCCTCACCCAGGGGGAGAGGCAAGGGAGAGTCGCTGCTCCTCAGGTAGGCTACCAGATTATCATCGAAGCTCACCCTGAAGGGGTGGCCACCTCCTCATGCTACTCCCCGGGAGGAGGGGAGGAGAAGGACGCAGCCGCTGCGCAGCATACTCCGACATTTCCAGAATCCTGGCGGGCAGAGTCCTCCGTCGTCTCCGCCGTTCTGTCGTCCCCCCCCCACCCCCTCTTCCCACCCGGCGGGTGCTCACCCACAAGAGTTGTCTTCCTCCCTCCCCCCCTGCGCGGGCCAGGGGCGGGGACGCTGACGCCTCCAATGCTTGCACAGACCTGCCTGCAACCACAAGGCCACGAGGATGCCTCGTCGCTCAGGGGGCCCGTGCAGGGGCTGACTCACGAATTTACACGGGGGCACGGCGTCTGAATTGGATGAAGCGGACCCGGGGAGTGGCCAGGGCGAGCTGTTTGCGGGTAGACCTCCTCCTCCTCCTCCTCCTCCTCCTCCTTCCTCCTCCTCCTCCCCGTCCTCCTCCTCCTCCTCCTCCTCCTCCTCCTCCTCCTCCTCCTCCTCCTCCTCCTCCTCCTCCTCCTCCTCCTCCTCCTCCTCCTCCTCCTCCTCCTCCTCCTCCTCTCTCCCCCTCGTCCCCGCACGACCCGAGGGCCTCCAGAGAGGCGCGCCCGGCGGCAGTCAGCTTGTCGGCCTGGCCCACCAGCACCTTCCAGAGGGGCGCTCAAGCGCGCCCCCGCGCGCGGCAGGCACAGAGTCAGAAGACACTGTACAAACATAAACTTTCGGCGGTCCGCGCGGATGTCGGGCACCTCTGGCGGCGCCTCCGCCGCCGCCCCTGGCGCGCTCCGCGCGCCAGGGAGGGAGGTCCAGCGCGGACCCAAGAAATCCGCGCGAACCGTCCAGAGTGCGTGTCTGTGCCATGCTTCTGCCCTCTCCCCCCGCTCTTGCACGCTGGCCGACTCGCGCCTCGGAGCCCGCCCGCTCAGCGCCATCCCTGGTGCAGCCAACTCTGCCTCGCCGCCGTGAGTAAGTCTGGGTATGGGTAAGTCTGAGTGTGAGTCAGTCTTTGCACGAGTAAGTCTGGGCACGAGGAGGAGAGGGGAGGAGAAGCAGAAGAGGGAGGAGGAGGAGGAGCAGGAGGCGTCTAAGTAACAACAAGAACCCCATCTTAGGCTATAGGGAAATACGCAAAGACCTCGTCCCCGCAGAAGGCCCGTGCAGCTGCCGCAGAGAGGCCCCAGGCGGCGAGCGCCCCCAGCGGAGCACCCCTGCAGGGCGCCCGCAGGCCCGCCGCAGGACTAGTCGCCCCGCTCTCCGCGCGGCGCGCCTCCCTGCCGCGAGTGGCCCCGCGAGCGGCTACGAGCTCCGTCGCGCCCGCGGGCCGCCGCCGCTGGAGAAGGGCGCCTCCTCCTCCTCCTCCTCCTCCTCCTCCTCCTCCTCCTCCTCCTCCTCCTCCTCCTCCTCCTCCACCTCCGCCTCCTTCAATGCAGGCCGCGTCACGCGCGAAGCGTGGGCAGAGGAGCACAGAACAGGCACAAGAGCACAAAACTTCTGGCGCGCCGCGCGGCGTTCTTGGATCTGCGCTGGACCCCCCGGGGGAGCGCGGCGCGGATCCAAGACAAATCCGCGCGGAGCGCCAACCGTTCATGTCTGTGGCGCCTTCTTCTCCTTCGACCGATGCTCTTCGCGCCCCCTGTTGGTGCCATGGGCCCCTGCAGGTCTTTGGGTGACCCAAAAGGGGGTCCAGCTGAAAGGGGGTGGTGCAACAGATTTGGGGCAATTGTGTTGCAAATGTATTGCGCCGGAGAACTGTGTTGCATTGTATTGCAAGTAATGCATTGCACGCGAAAATCCAGCAATACATTTGCGGCCTGGAATGTATTGCACGCCCCGAGAGTGTTGCACCCCGACACATCTCAAGCACCAAATCTATTGCACCACCTCCTTGTCGCTGGACACCCTTTTGGGTCAACCCGAAGGTACCCCCTCAAGCAGAGCACAGGGCATCTCAAAGACCTGGCGCCTCGGGCCTCGGCCCTCGTTGCGGGCAGTCCAAATTATCCCTCTCCGGTGCGTCCTTTGACTCTCCTGGGAAGGGGCACCGCAAGGCCGAGAGGCACCGGATGCGGATAGAGATCGAGACCAGGGGCCAGATGCCTATCCTTAAGTCGGGCCTGTCCCCATACAGGGGGATGTTCGACGAAAAACAAAAAATACCCCCAAAATAACTTACACCAAAAAGGTCAAAAAATATTCAAACAAAATAGTCCCCAGACTATTTTTGGACTATTGACTATGCTGGGGGTCTTTTTTATTTTCCGTCGAAAATCCCCCTGTAGGGGGACACGCCCGACTTGAGCTTATCCATATCCAGTGCGTCGCGCGCTTCTTGGGAAGGGAACCCGACGCTCCAGGCTGCAATGGGCGTCCACAGAGGCCTTGCCCGCACCTCGGGCCTTGGAGCCTCCGTCCTCCGGGCGTGGAGCCCCGACGCAACTCGGGCCCCGATCCGAGAGGGCACGTGTCCTCGGGACTCGGTCCTCGGGCCTGGAGGCCAAGGACCTCGGCGGTGGGGTGCTCGCGCGCGCCACTCGCGCGCGTCGTCCCTCCTACTCCTCCTCCGCCTCCTCCTCCTCCTCCTCCTCCTCCTCCTCTCCCTTCTCCTCCTCCTCCACCTCCTCCTTCTCCTCCTTCTCCTCCTCCTCCTCCTTCTCCTCCTTCTCCTCCTCCTCCTCCTCCTCCTCCTCCTCCTCCTCCTCCTTCCATTCTCTCCTCCACCTCCTCCTTCTCCGGCTGAGATAGCTCCAAGCTGGGCAAAACAAAACTCGAAGGAATCAGCTGGCGCCACCCTTCCCAAACCCTCCCCCGTAATATCAAAGCACGGGCGGGTCTGATAGGATATGGGGACTGACGCATGCTCCAACATATCGACTAGAAGGCGCTCGCGCCCGTGCGAGCCCGCTTCCGACAACCTGGCGAAGACAACGCGTGCGAGGTACCCAAGCGGCAACGCAACTGTGTGTGCGGGGGGGGGAACGGGGGGGAATTTGCGACTTGAGGCAAGGGCGGAACTCCACCTGCGAGTGTGCGGCCCGGCTTGAAGCATGACTGGCGATCGACACACATCCGCCGCGCCAAAGAGAACACCCAACGTTCAGGAAAAAACGTGCGCGACGCCTGGGCGAGAGGGACAGCTCGCTTGCGCACGCACGGCACAAATCGCGACGAACCCGTGAACACACCAAAAAAAGGTGCCACACCAGCGCCAGAGTTCTTCAAGGTCCAATGCAACCAACGCGGAGCTTAAGCGAGAACATTCTGCCCAACTCGATGTGCGCCGCGTCCAGCACCTGCCACGCAATCTGCAACTTCGACCACAAACGTCCATGCTGATATTTATACAAAAAGGAATCAGATCTTAACTGGATGTTGATGGGTCGGGTGAAAAGGAGTGTTCAGGGTTGGTAGGAAGCTTGTGGCTGGGAGGAGGCAGGAGAACAGGGAAGATGAGGAGGATGAGGAAGATGAGCAGAAGGAAGGGCAAATATGATGCGTTCCAACGCACGTCTCCAAATAATCCTCTCCGTAAGCAGCAGTCACGACGAGAAGCCGAAGTCCTCTGGACATCAAGACGCCGTGCCCACGATACGCAGCTGCGACGGGATATGTCGCCGAACTTCCCTGTATGGCGTCATCCGCATACGCTCTCCGGAGGCCTCTGGCCCCCACGCCACATACTTCCGCAGGGTTGTGTCCGCTGGCTCGCCCCAATCTATTTCACTTCAGCTCTCAGCTTCCTGCACAGCTGACGCTGGGGATCTACATCTCATCTGCGTCGCCTCTGCTCGCGAGCCGCCTGACGGGCCACCTGCACGCAACCCGTGGCGGACGCGGTCGCGGTGCCGCCTGTACGGGGGGGCAATTCTAACCTATCCAAACATGGTAGAAGAATCCTCCCCGGACTATTTGTTTTTACTATTTGGGCATAGTCCTCCTGTAGAGGGACAGGCCCGACAGAATACGAGGACCATGGAGGTCCGCCAGGCCCGTCCCGTGGCCCGCCGACGAGGCATGGGGGGATGCTCCCAGCATTAAGGGCACAGGCGCCACTCCGCAACTCCGCACTGCGCCCATGGCCGGATGGCCGAGAGCGTGGCGGCACGACGCTCTCCCCAGGGCATAAGCTTAGCGCATTGGCGGGCTCGTGCTGAGCATTTTCTCAGGGTGCAGGGCTCAAGGTGAAATCCACATGGACTATTGCACCTCGCAAATCCATCCGCCTTGTGATTCACCGCTGGCAGATTCAAGGCTCGAAAACCCATCGAAACGGTATATCAGATTTCACCCTTTGCCCTCCACCCGGAAGAAAATGCTCCGGCATCGGCGGGCTCGTGTCGTGACGACCCTGGGCGTTGCTTTCTGACGCCGCGTGAATCGTTCAACCTCGAACGATCGGCAGCGTCGCCACCGCGCCAGATCGCTCCCCGCCCGATGCCGGGCCACCGCGGGCGAGCCGCCTCGGACGCCCATGCCGGGGCCGCCGCCGAGTCGCCACGGCACGGACCTACGTACAGTAGTGGACGAGGCAAGGCGGAGAGAGGGGCTGGGACGCAGCCATTTGGCTGCGCGCAAAAGGAGGGTGGAGGGAGGGGGAGGGCCTCTTAGAAGGAGGCTGCTTCTCTTAGAAGGCGCCGGCCTCACCCGTCTAGAGAGAAGGCCCGCACCTTCTAGGAAGCAGGGGTGCTTCTAAGAAGCCCTCCCCCCTTCCCCCACCCCCCTCTGCGCGTGGCTGAGCCAGAATGTACAGCCCCCCCGATTACAAAGTCTGGACCGCGGAGGTCGCGGAAACTCAGCGTGGACGGGCCCCGTTAGGCCGCGGGGCCCAGGTACAATGTTCCAAAGACCGCCATCGCGGACTTTGGGTCCATGCCTCATCCCCTTGAATATTATAATCGCCAAATGGGGCGACGACTGGGAATTCGCATTCTGCGTAATACTTCCCCCAACAAAGAATGTCCGCTCGCTTCCCAGACCGGAAATTTTCAGAGGCGACCGGAAACTTGCGATTTCGCTCAAGCTTCCTCACAACAAAAGAAATTCGGTCCGATTGATGTTGGCTGGAAGTCGAGTCGTGGCTTGGAAGATCTTCTGCAAAGCGTGTCTGCTTCCTTTGGTGCCCGCGATTCTAAACAGAACGTCAGTGCTCCATGGTCTGCTGTGCCGTGCCAGTGTTCGGCGCGCTGCCCGCTTTCGGAGACATCTCGGAGGCCATGTTGTCCAAAAGGGGGAGCCCAGACCCATCGAGGGTACACAATCCAGGTCCGACCGGAGAGCGACGATGCAGACCCTTCCTCTTCCTCCTGACCTCCTCCTCCTCCTCCTCCTCCTCCTCCTCCTCTTCCTCCTCCTCCTCCCCCTCCTCCTCCTCCTCGACTTAACCTCCGACAGGCAGGCCGGGACGCACCGGCGACAGGAGCCCGCGCTCCTCCGGGGGGGCGCACCGCGCCGGAAAGGAGCGCAGCGGCGGCAGCACGCGCCGCCCGCGGCCCCCGCCGCCCGGGGGGGGGGGGCCGCGCCTGCGCCAGCGCCTCGCAGGCGGCGTGGTGCGGGGCGACCTGGGCGCCCCCCGGTGCTTCTCGCTCCCGGAGGAGAGGAGGAGGAGGAGGAGGAGGAGGAGGAGGAGGAGGAGGAGGAGGAGGAGGAGGAGGATCGGCGCGGCATAGAGCGGTCCAGTCGAGCCAGGACCGCCCCGAGCGCGACCTCGCGCCCCACGCGAGGCCGCAGTGGCGACGAGGCCCCCCCGCCGCGTGAGTGCGACCGCCCCTAGCACCCCGCAAGCGGGGTCCTAGACGGCCGCACTCACCCCAGGCCCTCGGGCCTGGCGGCACCCACAGGCACGGGAGCCACGGAGGCCACACGGGGCCCCCCGCCGCCAGGGTCCGAGGCGAGTCCAGCAGCCCCGCCTGGCTTGGCCCCCTGGGGGCCTCCAGTGCGGGGCGTACGCGCAGCAGCGCCGTCGCTCAGCCCCGCCGCGTCACAGCCGCGGCGGTAGGCGGCCAGGAGCGAGGCGACCACGGAGCTCCGCCGCGCTGCCTCCGCCGCCTCCGCAGAGCCCGCGGCCGCTCCCTCTCCCTCCTCGCCCCCGCCAGCAGGGCGGTGAGCCCGCGGCAGGGGCCCCTGGTGGCGCCGCACTGGCGGCTCTTCCACCCCTCTTGGGCCGCTCTCTGCCGCCTCAGCAGAGTCCGCGCCCTCGTCCTCGCCCCCGCCCGCAGGGCGGTGAGCCCGCGGCGGAGGCCCCTGGTGGCGCCGCGCTGGCGGCCCTTCCACCCCTCTTGGGCCGCTGGCGTCCCTTCGGCCTTCCCCATCGGCCTCGCCCTCCCCAGGGGTCGTGGGGGTCGCCGCGGCCTCTGCAGCTGCTCCAGCGGCGCACCAGTCCTCACCTCCAGCGCCGTCGCCGCCTCTGACGCCCTCCGCCGCCTCAGAGCCCCAGTCCTCACCTCTCATAGGTGGCACGCTCTGGCCACCGTCCTCGCCACGAGCGACGGGGCTCCCACTGATGGGCTCGGCGGGAGGAGGGGCGGGGCCAGCGCCCACCTCCTCTGCTGCTGCCGTCGGCTCGCCACCGCCAAGGCGCCGCAGCGTGACGGCAACCTCGCTCGCGATCCTGGGCGCGAGCCCAGCACGCAGGCGCGCGATAGCCGCGCTGCCCGCGGCCGAGGGCGGCGTCTTGCACTCCAGCCCGAAGCTGCAGGCGCGAGCGGCTCCAGTGAACCCGCACCTGGTGCATGCGACCAACGGCAGCCTCCGCTCCAGCTCGCTGTCCAGCACAGGAGCGATGGCGACCAGGTCGTGCGCCGCGAGCCCCTTCTGCACCAGCAGCTCGTTGGCCTTCACCGCGTCCTCCAGGATGCTGCCAGGGCACTCGCCAGCGCGGTTGGTCCACCTGCAGACCTCACACCATCTGTCCTTGCCCTTCCCGCGCCAGCTGCAGCTCAGCCACGCGGAGGCTTCACGGCGCCGCCGAACCGCCCTCTTCGGCCGCTCCTTGCGATGGGTGGTGTCGCTGCCATCCACCCATGTGCCGACCGCAGTGCACCACATGGCCACCAAGTCCACCTGCTGCCGAGCCAGGTGCAGCTTGCGGCGATCGGCGGCCGAGGCACGGCCCTGGGCAGCCGCCGCCTTCGCAGCTGCGTCGGCGTACGAGTTGCCCTTCCAGTCGCGGTAGCTGATGGCGCCGTCCACGACCTGCCTCCTGGTGCGGTGGGCAGGGACCCATCGGAGGTGCACTGCACGACCAAGCCCTCCTCTGTCGTCCACCAGGGCCCACGCCAGCCGCCACAGGTGCGCCCAGGAGTACGCGTAGGCGGCGGTGTTCGTGCGACCCGCCTTGTAGAAGCCGTCGTACACGTACTTCGAGTCGACCACCAGCGTGACCACGCCCATGCTGAACCGCAGCGCCATGATCACCGCCATGAGCTCGCCCCCGTTGATGTCGACGTAGGCGCCGCACAACTGCCCAGCAACGGAGGCCAGGTAGCAATCGGCATCGGGCTGCAAGGCGACCACGCTCCAGCCGACCGATGCGAACTCGTCGAAGTCGGCCTCGAACGCGGAGCCGTCGAGGAAGAACTCGCCACCAGGGAGGACCCCGCCGTCGTGGTCGCCGCGCCAGCACACCAGGTCACTGGCCCGTGGCTTGCGTAGCCCAGGCGGCGTCGGCCACAGGCACCGTTCCAACAGCAGGGTGACCTCGGGCAGGTGGCTCCGCTTCCTGAGGTCCGCGATCTCCTTCGGAAGCGTCAGCACCTCTCTCCAGCATTCGCAATCGCAGTGGCGATGCAGGAGCGTCCCTCTGCCCCCGCACCGCAGGCACTCAGCACACTCGGCAAGGCCCTTCTCCTCCTTGCGCGCCTGGGGCCACTGCCCATTGACCACCAGGGAGTGGAGGTACGCCCGCTCCTTGAGGGTGAGCCGCACCTTGGTGCCCGCGGCGATACCGTCCCTCCTGTCCGCCACGCTCGTGACACAGCCAGTGGAGGTGAGCCTGATGAGCGGCTCCAGCGTCCCGCCCTCCGCCAGGTGAGCGCACCCAGGCGCCAGGCTGGCTTGTCTCCACTGCCACTTCACGATGGCCCGCTGCACCAGCTTGATCACGATCCACGGGGAGATGTCAAACGGCGCAAGGAGGCCACCATCGTCCATCCTCCAGCAATTGGCCGTGACGACCTCCCAGTCAATCCTCCGCAGCGAGAGAAGCGTCGCCGCGCAAGGGCCCTGGACGTGGGCCCACGTGACCGTGCGCGCGTCCTGCAGGCATAAGACCACCATGTGGCGTGGCACCCAGCCCTCCCACACCGCGCGCAGTAGCATCTGCACGGGCTTGCACGTGGCGTCGACTATCGGGTCGAGCCCTGGCTGGAGCATCATCGTGAGGGTCCTTGACTTCTCCGCCGTGGTGTTCGACACCGCCACGAACGTCAGGGACCTGGCACGATCGAGCTCGGTCGTGGTGCAGCCTGTGATGGCCGTGCCGTACCCGATGCTGGGGTGCAGGGCGGTCTTCGCGAGCCTCCTCGTCGCGGGCTTCCTGCCTTTCGTCATCTTGACGATCTTCACCCTCCGAAGGCGCTGCTGGGCCTGCTGCATCCTTCCTGCTCGTACTTCACGTCCGAGCCGCTTGCCTCCACTGAAGTCGACGCCCAGGTTGCGCTCCTGCCTCGCCGCAGTGACGCCTGCCGTCCTCTGCAGCCTCCGCTCCAGCTCGTGCCTCGCCTCAGGGTAGTTGGAGAGGGCCCTGGACTTCTTGGTGGCGATGCGAAGGTCGGCCTTCCCCAGGAGCTCCTTGAGGCGCCGTGTCGCCGTCGCCACCTCATCCACCGTGCGCCGCAGGCCTCCGACACGCTTCAGGATGAGATCGTCCACCACCACCGACAGGGAGACGGTGGGCACCAGCGCTTGCAGCTTGTCGAGGGGCTCGATCAGCATGATCTTGAGCATGAGCGTGGCGAAGCCGTCGCCTGGCAGCACCGCCTGCTTGGTGGCGATGGGGTTGCTCAAGGCCTCTCCCAGCGCAAGCCACCTCGGAGACCTGTAGAGGCTGACCTGCAGCTTGAGCTGCCACAGCGGGAAGCCCGTTCGCACCGCCGCCTGGATGAGGCGCCCGTGCTGCACCTGCTCGTACGCCTTGAGCAGGTCGAGCAGCACCAGCGCTGACACCCAGCTAGAGGCGTCACCAGCCTCACGCCCCTTCGCCGAGGCCCACTCGCACTCTACCGCCTGCTGCCACACCGCCCTCTCGCAGCCCTTGCCTCTGGACGCCCAGAAGTAGGGGCGGTCGTTCCTGCGCTCCCAGGCGTCCGCCAGCGGCTTGCGCAGCCTCGCCTGGACCCTGGCCACCACGTGGATGATGGCCACAGGGCGAACGCCCCCGAGCCGCTTAGCCAAGAACACGATCTTGGTGTGCAGCTGCGGCCACTCCGCCATCTGCTCCACGGCCATCAGCAGGTCGATCAGAGCCTCTAGCCCCTCGCTGCTGAGCTCGAGGAGCTGCCTGGGCTTGATGGCCTCGAAGCCCGAGCCCGAGGAGGAGGAGGAGGAGGAGGAGGAGGAGCAGGAACAGGAGAAGGAGGAGGAGGAGGACGAGAGGAGGAGGAATAGGAGGAGGAGGTGGATGAGAGGAGGAGGAGGAGGAGGAGGAGGAGGAGAAGGAGGAGGAGGAGGAGGAGGAGGAGAGGAGGAGGAGGAGGAGGCCCCCAAGCGACCGACGACCCACCGACCGGCCGGCCGACGACGGCGACGACGGCTTCGACGGCGTCGAAGGGCGACGGCGACGACGACGACGGCGCAGACGATGACGACGGGCGTCGGCGAAGCGACGACCACGGGCTTCGGCGAAGCGACGAGGCTCGCCCCTGGCGGCGCGCACGAAGACGATCCCACAGGAAGACGCATGCGCCGGGCCGCGTTCACAGATGCGCGTCCCCCCCCCCAGGTCGGGGGGGCGCCCTCGTCGTGTGGAGAACGCTCGCGCAGCACGTCCTCTCGAAGCACTTTGTTCTTCGGGTGCGCGTGCGTCTACGCATCGCTACGGAACAAAGGAGGGGTGCGAGGAAAGCGCGCCTCCCTCGTGAGAAGGCATGGATGGGGGCTCCTCGGAAGGCAGAGACAGCCAAAGAGGATCCTTCCCTGGAAGTCTCTGGGCGCTCCTGACAAGTCGATGCCTTCGAAGGAGCCCCCACCTGGCTCTGCAGAGGCCCTCGCGCCACCCCCGTGCTCGGGCACACGCCGCCAGGGATCAGCTGACGACGCCGACAACTACGACTACTACTACTACTGCTACTACTACTACTACTACTACTTCTTCTTCCTCTTACTACTACTACTACTACTACTACTACTACTACTACTACTACTACTACTACTACTACTACTACTACTACTACTACTACTACTACGACTACTACTACTACTACTACTAACTACTACTACTACTACTACTACGACTACTACGACTACTACTACTACTACTATACTACTACTACTACTACTACTACTACTACTACTACTACTACGACTACGACTACGACTACTACGACTACTACGACTACTATGA